TTTGTATTTGGGATTTATTTGGCTGTAGTGACAGGAGCTCACCAGTAGGTGTCAGTCTATGGGTGAAACACAGTGATGAGAGTTATGAGAAGAACTAAGAGAATTAAAACCTTCAATTTATAAAATCAAATATCTGTTGTTTGATTAAAGAGAAGAATCTGCTGCACGAGTACAAACGATGAGATGATGTCTGTTCGTCAGAGCTGATGTTTCCTGGAGGAAGCAGCTGCAGAGAAAACTCACAACTGGACTCAGATGATGCACGAGGGACAAATGAACAAGAGTCTTCTGAGGCTGTGCTGCAGCTCGTTTTCATAAAATTCAACTTGGATCATTCGAATTAAAATATTAAAAACTAAATCAAGTTGATGATCACTGACGTAGAGCACTGACGGAACACAGATGTGTTGATCAGTTTGGTTTTAATTTGTTATTTGATGATATAAAAACAGACGGAGACGTGATGATTGACAGCTGAGACTCTGCATGACGTCATCAGCACAAGATGGCAGCGTTAGCGCCTCAAAATAATTTGGCTTGATTGCAGCGAGAGGAACCATGTTTGTTTAGAGTCGGAGGTTCTTCTGTATGAAAACACGACAAACAGTCGATGGTAAATAGTTTGTAATAAACACGGTAACCACTGCAGATGTAGTTATATGATCCTGAATCTATATCAGTTTGAAAAAGTCACTTTTAGAACTTGTATTTCTGTGTCTTTGTCTTGGATGAAGAGTTCAGCCCGTGACCCTGCAGTGAAAAGTATTCTGGGTTGTTTGACGTCGACAAAGGGAGGAACAGGCCTGAGGGTGTGCAGAGAGCATGGTGGTCCAACGCCGGTTTCCCCTCACCTCGGCTGTGTGTACCGTCTGTCAGCTCGTCCTTTCAGATTCACCACCAGGTAAATACACAGCGTGGGACCACAAACAGTGACCCTGCAGCCGAGGGGGGGAGGAGGAGGAGGAGGAGGAGGAGGAGGAGGAGGAGGAGGAGGAATCCTGACAGTCTCCTCTCTCCACTTGTTTCTCCTGTAGAACAGAACATGAAGAAAACATTGAGAAAAAAAATCACCTTCAAACTTCAAGATGTTTAATTTCTTTGAGTTTAAAGGTTCAGTGTGTAGAATGTAGTGACCTCTAGTGGTGAAGTGTCATGTTGCAGCTGAATACCCCCCCCCCAAACCTGTGGCAGCTTCAGTCGTCATAAAAAGTCAAAAAGTTTAGTTTGTTCAGTTTGAGCTAAAAAAAAAACAAAAAACATGGCGGCCTCCGTAGACAGGAGTCGCTCCTGATGTAAATATAAAGTTTTAAAATATAAAG